TCAGCAATTTTGGCTTTAAAAAGACATACCTGTTATTTACCCCGAATTATGGAATATCATTAGAAATTTTTTAATTGCTTTTCCTTGTGAAAAAATGGTTGTCAATCTTAAAAAAAAAGAAAGAATTCTGGACATTATTATAACAGAGGAAATTTACTGTTAAACTCGTCAAGATTAATGCCAAATGTTGAAAATTTGTTATTGAAGCGCCAAATTCATCCCTCCCATTAAAAGCCTTTTTGCTCGTTGCTCAAACATTTTTTTAACACAGTTATTTTATATGTTATTAAATTTAAATTTTAACAAGTGTTTCTTAAGTTTTAAACACTGTACTTTACATCAGATACAAATTTTAATTTTAAAGTAGTAGCTCTATACCAGCTGCCAAAAAGACTTTAAGTTGATGAATGTGCAAAAATTTAATATTAGGTAAGCATGGGTCTACCCAAAGACGAAAAACTTGGCAAGGGATCTATGAGACAAAAAAGTTTGGGAACCTCTGATCTACGTGATTATATTAACCATTTATGAAATGACTTTCATTTACCGGTTTCAATTTCAAATCGCGTATATAACAAGTGTATCATCGAATCAACATCTTCACAAGATAATTATTTTAAGCTGCAGTATAACGAGTATGTTTCTAAATGCTTAATAAACCAATAATTTTCCCCATCATTTAGCTCAGGTGTTTTGGCTTCTTTGGTTAATATAAAATAAATGCTAATGTTCTATATATCGCGCGGGCTGGCGAATTATCCGATGACCTCATTTTTTGGCAATTTTATTCGTCATGATGCGTAAGATCGTAATACTTGACCTTGTTTTGATGAACTTTGTGTAAGCTCCAGAGCTCTTACAGGAAACTGGATTTACGCAAGACGGAATAAGTATTAAAATAGTTCTTTTATTTCGCTAAATAACTAACAAGTCTTTCAGCTTGAAGTAACTACAGTATTGAAACTAAATAATTCTCAGAGGCCGAATTATTCTAAATTAAGAACTTTCAGTCTCTAAATTAAATAAAAACTGTCTGCAAATTAAATCAATCTCTTAATTTAAAACATCAATTTTTCCTCCTTTTTACGGAATTATAATAGCCGAGTGATCTTGATCGCGAACTGGCATCGTGGCTGGCATGATTTCTGCCTCTTTATGGGTTTGAATTTAATGCCACCTAAGATGGATGGTATAGAGCAGTGGTCTACAAACTGTGTTCCACTAAAACACTTGGGTCCCACAAGGCCTACCCAGGGGTTCAACGAGTCACAATAAAAAAATCGAAAAGAAACTTATAAAGCAGTATGCAGAGAATGGATTCACGTCTTCTATAATGTTTGTACACCCACAAGAATTTAAAGCTCATCCCTGTCATTACAAAACTGAAAATTTTATTCATACATAATAACTTAGTTTTGTAATATTTTTTTAAGTTTTATTATAATATAATAAAAAAATATTATACTGGATGGGCAAAAAGTCCGTATAAACTTTAAAAGTTTATAAGACACGGGAAATCAAACAAAATAAAAAATGGTTTACAGGTTTAGCATCGATAAATCACGGGATTTTTTTTAAGATAAGAAAAAAACCTGCCGACAGATGGCGCTGGTACAAACGACTGAGTTGGAAATATGCAAATGAGTTAGCTGTTTACTAATACTGATGCTCTTGATTCGGATCTGATTCTCCGTTGCATGCCAAATAAGTTAACAACGATGCTGAGAAAGACAAAGCTTTGTTGGTGATTCTATTTTTCATGAACAAGGAATCAGCGACTGTTGCACTGCGTAAATTCCAACTTGAGAAAAATGTGAAGACTGAAAAAGAGGACCTTGAACAGTGGTACGCCTCTTAAAGCTTGTTTAGCGATTTGAGGAAACTGGATTGCTCGAGGATCATGTAAGATTCTGGCGACCAAGTCTAAGAATCATTAACAAACGTTGCAAGTTTACATGGCCTCCTCGGTCTCCAGATCTAACTCCAGTAGACTTTTCGCTATGAGGATATTAAAATTCCCAGGTGTATTAATCCCGTCCATCGAGTCTGACGGAAATGAAAGATGCAATCCACCAAGAACTGTCATGTATACAGACGGACATTCTGCACTCTGCCATTGCTGGATTTGTGACATGCTTTGAATGTGTCATCCCTTGTGATGGTGGATATGTGGAACACATGTTGCTGTAATAAATGATTTGGTAACGTTATTTCTGTTATTTGCGAGTCTTTTCTTTCACTTACGGACGAAACGCCACCTATCGGTTGTTTTTTAAATTTTTTTTCTTTTTCTTATCTTAAAAAAAGTCCCGTGACTTATCGATGCTAAACTTTCAAACAGTTTCTTATTTTGTTTAATTTTCT